ATTAGACTACATTTTCATTTTTAAATTTTTTGGGGACCACACAAGATTGAATCTTGTCGCCCGCCCCTAAATCTAGCAATATCAATCCTATCATGAGTCGGCATTCATCACGCGTCGCGGTTGGTAACCGTACAGGACCATTGCCTTCGGGTGCAGGCAAAAGGGCGGCTTAGCCTGCACGAAGCAGCTATAGCTGCTGCTGAGCTATAGCTGCCGCTGCACCCGGGTGGTTCGTGCCGCACATGATCTTGTCTCTGGATTCGCCCGATTATCAGTGATTTTCGCCCATGTTTCTGATCCATGAAGTGCTCATACCTTGGGTGGGTTGTGCACGGCAGTGCCTTCCTCCGTTTCGCCTCAGAGATCTCTCCACGCAGCCCTAATCCCTCTCTCGTTGCAGGGAGACGCAGGACAGGTAGGCAAGATTCTACGGAAGATACCACCCCTCTGGCGGACTTTACGCTCCGAGGTCCGTCGCGGGTGCGATCCCTTTCACCTTTTCAACGCCACTATACTTTAGAGGTGTCCACGACGATTCTATAGAGGGCTGCCCTAATTTTGGATCGCAACTACAGCCGGAGCTATTGAGAAACTTCGGTTGGTCGCTATGGTGAAGGCCAGCTGCGAGGGGTTCCGTGAGTCATTGGTCGAGAACAAAAAAAAGAAAAATGGGGTGTACGGAGCCCCTTGCAACCCGGGTGATGATCCAGGATCTACAGGTGCTGCAGCACATTTTCTGGGGGGGGTCGAATGGTGGAAAATCCTACCCCCCCTACTTTTTCACATCTGCGGGGCACCATGTTTCTGAGATATTTTGTGTCCTTAAAGCGGGGAGTTTCTTTGAAAATGGTGTCTTTAAAGCGGGGACGACTGTACCCCTTTTCAAGTAGTCCCCTCCCAGCAAACAGGATCCCTACTGTATCGTGTTGCTGTCAGCACCGCGGCGCGCCCAAAGCCACAAGCACCAATGCCAAACCGCAGCGGAAAAACGTAAAACGTAACGCTACATCGCCTTATGACATTTTATGGAGGGCGATAAACTTAGCGGAAGATCAAGCGGTATCTCAACCACAAGCGGTTCACCGTTTCGAGAGACACTGGACCTAGACATTTTTCGCTACTCCTTCACAAGTATCTCCCTCCCAGTAACAGGACCCCTACTGTATCCAGCTGCTGTTAGTAACGGGGCGCGTCTACAACCCCGATCACATTATCGATCACATGACAGTGAGAGGTGCCCCCCTCGGTCTGTACATCAATGAGAGATCATTACAAAGGGCAATCAACCACATGTTAGGGGCGGGTGCCCCCTCTCAGCCTACATATCGGTAGATCAAAGCAGCATGCCAATCACAAACAGTTCATCAACCAGCCTGTTGGTATCTGCTACTATAATAATATGAGAGCCGCTGGTTGCCATCTATCAACCCTCCTGATTTCAGGCAAATATCCCGGTGAAACAAGCACCAGGAAATAATTCCGAACGTCATCAATCAAGTTGGTGTGACCGCAATGCCCTGCGCATTACCATTCTTCAAAGTGAGACGATAATGGAATACCACACCATCCTCAGTATGTAATCGTGCAATGAGCCTCATCATGGCTCAACCTACGCGGTTAGTTACTGAGATGAGCATGGTATACTGGACAGGCAACATCGAGTTTTGTGGACTGCGTTCGTATTCCGATCAAACACAAGAAAAAACAACGAGCGAACGGCGAAAAATACCACACCAGAAAAATTTCCCCTTGGTACTTTCGTCAGTCGCATCATCAAAAATCGGCTCGTTACAGGAAAATGCCGACGAGCCGAATTGCACGCAAGGCACGAAAGGGGAGGGGCGTTGATGCACCGATGGGAAAACAGATCTAGATAACGTCAGAGTGCTTCGTATGCGACGTCCAACTCGACATCACCAACTCCAACTTCAATCGCGGTGACTGCAGTCTCAGTTCTCGATGGGCACTTTTTGCGTTGTGCCCCTTTTTCCCGCACCTCTGGCAAAGCTTCTCTGGGCATGCATTCGCATAGTTTTCCCCATCACAGACGTAGCACTTGACTCTCTTATCGCTGGCCAAGTTCGCCTCTTCGTCACCTCGGTTCTGTTTCGACCGTCGTTTTCCTCCCCCCTTCCCCTCTACTGCTACGAACGCATGATGATTCGCTCGCCGATCACTCTTCCCCTTCTTTTCCTCCGCTTTCAGTTGCTCAGCCCGTGTGCGTAGCACTCTCAAAATCTCTTCTTCATCGAGTGTTTTCTGGGCGAGCAGCTGTTGCTTTTGAATCTCAAATTCCGGGGAAAGCGCATCGAGGAACCGTGCATATACGAGCATTTTGGGGATGGGCTGGTCAAATGCCAGCTCTAGGTTGGTCACTACGGACTTGAACTCCTGGAAAAAACACTCGGGGGTCCTGGTGCTTCCCCTGTTGGGTGTTGTAAAACTTACCGATCAGCGAGATCTGCTCGCCGCCGGTTAACGGGGTAAATGTTTCTTCCAACGCACGCCACGCTGCCGAGGGCCCCTTGCGATCGTAAACCAGCATTTTTGTGGAATTATTGGAGATCGCTCCCGTCAGCATCCCCCACAGATCCCGGTACATGGCTATCTCCCCTACTTCTACTCCCTGCTCTACCATGCCATCATCGTCTACGCTTAGGACCACAACGTCCCTGCTGTCACTCAAGGCACGACCCATTCCACAAGTCTGCACCTGCGTAATGAAATCGTTTCGAAACATGAGCCAGTTCTTTTCGTCTCCGTCAAAGTCCAACTGTTTAAGGCGTGGTATCCGGGCATGCGAGCTGAAAGTATATCGTGAAGCTTGCTCCTCTCTGCTGACTCCTTCCCGCGAGATAGCCCCCTCGGGTGGCGAAGGCTCTCGTGGTTCCGGGCCTCGCAGCCCTCTCGCTCCCTCGAGCCCTCGTTCGGTATTCGGCGCTTGGTCCAGCTGACCCGCGCCAGGGAAGGCGTGCGTCCTCCCCAGTGACCCCCCCCCCCGCCGCCCGCTGCGCTCGCACTTCCGGCGGGCGGTGCCCCGGGCACTAACCGGGACAAGGTGTCCATGATGCCTTCCATTTCTTCCGTCACCATCTTCTCCAGTCTGGTCCTTTCGACGGCCATCGACGAACGTCGAGGGCCGTCGTCGATGGCCGTCGTAAGCACCAGACTGGAGAAGAAGTTGACGGAGAAAATGGAAGGCATCATGGACACCTTGTCCCGGTTAGTGCCCGGGGCACCGCCCGCCGGAAGTGCGAGCGCAGCGGGCGGCGGGGGGGGGGGTCACTGGGGAGGACGCACGCCTTCCCTGGCGCGGGTCAGCTGGACCAAGCGCCGAATACCGAACGAGGGCTCGAGGGAGCGAGAGGGCTGCGAGGCCCGGAACCACGAGAGCCTTCGCCACCCGAGGGGGCTATCTCGCGGGAAGGAGTCAGCAGAGAGGAGCAAGCTTCATGGTATGCTTTCAGCTCGCATGCTCGGACACCACGCCTTGAACAGGTGGACTTTGACGGAGACGAAAAGAACTGGCTCATGTTTCGAAACGATTTCATTACGCAGGTGCAGACTTGTGGAATGGGTCGTGCCTTGAGTGACAGCAGGGACATTGTGGTCCTAGGCGTAGACGATGACGGCATGGTAGCGCGGGAGTGGAAGTAGGGGAGATAGCCATGTACCGGGATCTGTGGGGGATGCTGCAACGTACATACTTCGCTCCAACATCACAACATCACTGCAAGGCACAGCAACAGGTGTCCCGATATAGTGCCGGTATGTGTCCAGGGGTGCGGACCGGCACTCTACCGGCTACCGGCACTATTCAGGGTCTAAAAACACCTCAATAGTGCCGGCTTCGCACTATTGAGGACTGTTCGACGTCAGGGTGCAGCGCTTACGTTTTGCGGGGCTGACACAGAACTACCAAACGAACGGTATACGGATCAATTGTGGGGAAGGCAACGTGGGCAGGCTTCTTGAAGAATAGTGAGGCTGCTAGCCTATCGAAAACATGGCTTTGGTCAGATTAAAATATACTTGGCCATATTCATTTGTTGCACTAATGTTCTCTTCCCACCTCGGCACACACTAATAAGGTAAAGAACGTCGCCGCTGCCTTCGAACCGTAGACCGTGCTGCCCGATCAAAAGGCACCTCGCTATCAAATGATCTACTGCAGTTCCTTAGGTTTCCCGCCTACGCCACAGGTCAAACTCCAGCTGATGCAATATGGGAGGTGGTTATCTAAAGAATGGCATTATGCTTCAAAATCTCACATGCCTCTTTGACGTACACCACACCTCTACTCCCGCCGAGGACCACTTACTCGGAAAACTGGGCCAAGTTTAGCAGCTGAGCGCCGTAAGCGTCACTCTTGACCGCATTCCGAGTCCCAGCGCCAATCATTGCACCAGTCAAGGGGGCGGACTGTGCTACAAGGCTGAGAGCGCGAGACTTGAGAAGCGCATGCTGATCAAGCATAGCCTTCGCCACGGAAGCCATGGCAGCTACATCAGACTCCGCGATGTCTAGCTTCCCAGCTCCGTAGCGGTTCCTGTTGACAGACCCGACCCAGCGGTTAGCTTCCAGAAGCCTCAATGCCGTGCCAAGAGTCTGGACTGCCTCCGTCTGGCTCGGAATGCGGTCAAGAGTGACGCTTACGGTGCTCAGCTGCTAAACTTGGCCCAGTTTTCCGAGTAAGTGGTCCTCGGCGGGAGTAGAGGTGTGGTGTACGTCAAAGAGGCATGTGAGATTTTGAAGCATAGTGCCGTTCCTTAGATAACCACCTCGCATATTGCATCAGTTGGAGTTTGACCTGTGGCGTAGGCGGGACACCTAAGGAACTGCTATGCAGGCAACCTCAACGGCACCCCTCGACAGCGAAAGATCAACGCTCATCATGCGTGCACCCGATGTACGTTTGGGGGTAAAACATGGATGCAGTGCTCCTTGCATGAGCACAACAAAAGTAGATGCAACCCAAAGGGGTATGAAGAAGATAGCAAACTCCCCTGTTCCTTCGATAAAAAGCACGAGAGAAGATCAAGCCCTTAAGAGCAAGGAAAATTACTGGTCAACTAAAAGACGCGTCGTCAGTCTCAGTGCGTTTCAAAACAGAACACAACTGTTTCTCATGGCCCTGATCTGGGACCTCGTGAGAGATTGCGATGGAGGAAGCTTAGCTATTCTCCGGACCTACAACCTGATAATTGTTTATTTTTTTTGCGAAAAGAGTGGCCCGTATAGGGGCACGCTTTTTGTTTTGCAAAAAAAAAGCTGTTTAGAGGGATCGTGAGTGGAGTATGTGCGCACGAGAATAATTTTCATGCCCAGGGGCGTGAAAATTTCGCATTGGCTGTCTGGTGTCTGTCTGGTGTCTGCGCGCCCTAAATAACCCAGCAGACTCGAGCCCATTTCACCATCTCGGCACCAAATTGCAAACTAAAACTTGCGCACAACAAGTAACATTTTGCCCGAGCTGTCCCAACCGCTACCTTTGCAATCCGTGGTCGGTGTCTCGAGATAGCACACCGTTTGTGCAAATA